GGTGGGAACAAAAGAATAAATTTCGATGAACACTTTTAGTTCGATCTCGTCGCATTCAGTTCACATTTTCGTACGGTTTGCGAGAGAGTTTCTTTAGTAAATGTACAATAGGGTATATAATGGAGATATGTACAAAAGTAGAAGAATATTTTATTTATATGTACCTAAATCCTTAATAAATGTTTTTGTTTCTTCTCAATCTACTGAACTTTGGTACTTGGAACAAATAATATATTTAGCAAAAGAAAATGTGGAATAACAATTAAATAGTTTTATTATATTTTCTTAGTAACACGAACGATCGTATTCGAGCAAGATTTCAGGTCGAGCATCAAATTGAACAATGCTATCTCAAATACTCGATTTGGTATTTGGAATAATTAAAAGAATTCTTAAAATCACCTTAATCTTTATTTTAATCTTAAAGTTGACAAAGAAATGGAATCGAAAGAAAATACGAAAAATTTATTTTTCTAAAATTAAAAAAATATAAATAATAATTTTCATTAAAATAATTGTAAAAAAGTATAAATTAATTATAATTATGTTTTTATTTTTCAAGATATCAGAATAAAATTATGAAAATATTTTAAATTTATAGGAAATAAAAGTTAAAACGAAAAAAGAAACTTTTGAATTTCTACCATCCAGACTCAGGTTAAGACCAAAAAGGGGTGAATTCAAAATTGGAGTAGGGAAAAGGTAGAAATATGAAATACTTTAGGGACTAGATATGCAATTAAACAACCCTTAGCAAAAAACAAATTTATGAACAAATACAAATACAAAGAGTAGAGTTTCGCGGTTATTACCCCCCCCCACACACACACACACACACACACAGAAAATAAATTAAAATGAAAATAAAATTTCATTCTTCCTCCCACCTTTCTCTCTCTAAAACACTCCCCTTTCTCTCTCTAAAGTCTCACTCTATCTGAGAAAATTCGTAATCTCATCTCCTTCGCCAACAATTATTCGTGAATTTCAAATCTGCTGCTTTTCCTCCAATGCTGTGAATTTGATTGTAATCGACAAGGTAAAGAGGAATTAAACAAAGGCGTTTTTTTACTGATCTTTTCGTTTTCAATTTCGTTTTTGAGTTTCTTTTTGAATTCGAGTTCTGTGTGGTTAGGGTTTAGAGGAATTGATTCTTGATTTATTTTCCAGTGGGTTTAGCTGATTATCGTTGATCAATGGTGTTTCTCTAATTTCCTTTTTCTTTTTTTTTTTCTTTTTTTTTTCTGGCTGCGAATTTGCGTTCTCGTTTTGAAATCTGAGTGAATTCGGTTAGTTACTTGTTGATTTCATTTTTTTCCCTCGTGATTTTTCTGGAAAGTTGTAGAGATCGCCGATTTGAGTTTTGAAGGGTTTTTTTTTTATTTTTGAAATTTGAAGAGTCTTCTAGCTGCTTGGTGTGTTTAATTTTGAATTTTTTTGGAGTCTTTTAGCTGCTTTGTTTTTTTAATGAACTCTACGTGGGTTGGGCGGAGTCGCGAAGATGTCGCATGTGTATAAATGTGGTGGAATTTTTTTCGAACCTAAACCGCCGGTGTTTTTGATTTCGATGTTAATTTAAATCTTGGTTGATCTGTTTTCGCTTTTAATTTCTCTGTGTCAATTGTACAGATTTTTCTCCTTTGATTTAAAGTTTGGTATTTTGGGTGACAGTCTAATGATTTTACCACATATAATAAATATACATAAATATTTAAATTTAAAATATACATGTCAGTCTGTTAATTTTTCTGCTCTTCTTTGGCTGTAAAAAATGTTTACATTTCTGATTATGAGCTTATTTGGCGCCTTTTTACTCGTCCCCTTTTAGTAAACTATTTGAAGGACGTGAGCTCGGATATTGTTTTAGAGGAAAATTAAAAAGATTCTTTTCTGGGGTTATAAGTACCCATGGTTCAATAAATAGCTTTTAAGAAATTTCTCTAATCTGCTCTTATTAACATTTTTTTTTTGTTTTCTGATTTTCTTACTCCCTCCTTTGGAAAAACTATCCGAAGGACGTGAGCTGAGATCCTTTTTTTAAGGAAATTTAAAACGATTCTTTTTTTGAGAATATATGTACCTATTGTAAGAAGAAAAATCTCTACCATATGGTTGTAAACATTTTCTGATTTTCTTTGCTATTTGTGTTTAGGTTCTTTGCTTAGCTGATAATGGGGCCACCAAGAAAGTCTAGAAGTGTGAATAAGCGCTATTCTTCAATCCCGGAATTATCTCCTAGCAAAGATGGAGATGGTGCTAAAAGAAGCAATAACAAGGTAAGCTTTTGGTGAACTGTTCTTTTTCCCGTTTCAATTTCATTTCAGAACTCACTCCTTGCTCGAGCTACACTACTATTGACAGTAATGGTAGTGTTGATATGTGATATGGGCTGAGAATATCCAGTCCACTGAAAAGAAAAAAAAAATTTCCATGTATGGTTGTTTCATAAACCTAGTGCATCTGTGCATCAAATGACTATTAATTTATCTTCTTGTTGAAAATGCAGAAAAGAAAGTTGTCTGACAAACTTGGGCCTCGTTGGACCATGGAAGAGCTAACTCGTTTTTACGACACTTACCGCAAGAATGGTAAAGATTGGAAAAAGGTATCTCCAAATTTACACTGGATTCATTGACTAAGATTTGCATAAATGACTGCTTGGATTTGTTTCCTAAATCATCTTCCTTAAAACGATTGCCATACTTTTCTTAATGTGCTGATCTGTTTGGATTGTTGTCGACAGATTGCAACCGCTGTGAAAAATCGAACTATGGATATGGTGGAGGCCCTTTACACAATGAACAGGGTACATTTGAATTTTGCTTTATGTTTTCTCTAGTAATGATTACAGTCAATCTTACCTCACCTATAAAGGCTGTTTTAGACCATAACTGATGAGAAGTCTAAAATTTGAAGATGATGTCATTTTACAACGTATTTAAATGACTACAGATCCACATTATCAACTACAACTTTATGTTTTTCACTTACATTTTTTCACCTATTCTGATTTCAGGCGTATTTATCTCTTCCACACGGAAGTGCTTCTGTGGCTGGTTTGATTGCTATGATGACTGATCACTACAGCAATCTGGTGAGACTACTCTTAATCAAGTTCCGATATTCCTGATATTTTATTTCAATTTTGTAAGTTCAATCAATTGAATTCTTGCTTTGTCAGGCACGAAGTGACAGTGATCAAGAAAGCAATGATGGAGCAGGATCATCGAGAAAGCCTCAAAAGCGGGCCCGAGGAAAAGTACAGCCTACTACCCCTAAGGCATCAGAGGAGCAATTCATTTCAGAATCACCTTCCATCATGTCAAATTACGGGTGTCTCTCTTTGTTAAAAAAGAAACGATCTGGCGGTATGTCAAAAAACATAGAATCGTCCTCAAAATGGATATATAATTTCTTTTTTTCTTTTTTTATTTGATGTATGGAGTTCTATTCAGGAAGTCGACCTCGTCCTGTTGGAAAAAGGACACCGAGGTTCCCTGTTTCATATTCGTATGAAAAAGACAATAGAGAAAATTACTTTTCTCCAAACAGGCAAGGCCTGAAACTCAAGGCTAATGCCGATGATGATGAAGTTGCTCATGAAATAGCCATAGCTTTGGCAGAGGCATCACAAAGAGGCGGTTCTCCGCAGGTTTCTGGAACCCCAAATAGAAGAGCTGAGAGTGTCATGTCATCACCTTTTAGGCACGGTCAACGAAAGGTAATTACATTAAAAAAACCCGATTTAGTAAAACAGTTGTTCTTTTAACTCGAATTTATAGAAAACTGCTATTGGTTTGCAGCATTCTGTACCAGAAATGCTGAACACAGACGAAGAAGACTTGGAAGGAAGCACAGAAGCTGACCCTTATGCGATGGAATCTGTTAGCACTTGTACAACAAGACAGAAAGGTAAAAAAATCGAAGGGAGAAAAACCGAAGTTGATAACTTGGATGACATTAAGGAAGAATGTAGCGGAACAGAAGAGGATCAAATGTTGGGTTCAGTTAGAGGCAAGTTTAATGACACCAAGAGAAAGAAGAGCAAAAAGGTTCTTTTTGGAAGAGGTATTGCTTAAATTTTCCCTTTTTCTTTGAAAACATTTAGTATTTTTTAGCGAACTTTACCGAGATAAATATATTCTTGATCTTTGTAGATGAAGGTTCAGAATTTGATGCCCTGCAAACTCTGGCTGATTTGTCATTGATGATGCCAACAGAAAATGAAAACGGTATGTTATCAGTACTTTTGGAATTTAAAAAAAAATTATATTGCTGGATAAAAAGATATTTAGATGTTTCCGTTGATGAAATTGTGCATTCAGTATATTACTCCCCCCATCTAATTATTTTGGTACTGTTGGACATGACGTAAAGTTGAGACGAGGGTTGAGAAACTGTAAATATTGCGTATCTTTCCTGTATTTTGTTTTACAATAATAGTTATGGTTTTACATTTTGCTTTATTGAGGACAATTGAGAAAAAAAGAATTTCTATCATTGATTATGGAGTCTAATCATTGGAACAATTTAGATATCGATTTCTCACTCATTACATCTCCATTATGAGTAGTTTTTTGACTATCACATGATTCAATTATTTTTCTCGTTATCAGAGTCGAGGGTGCAGTTTAAAGATGAACCAGATGACCAAATTGATGAATCTGTGCCTTTAGAATCTCTCCCACCAAACCCTCCAAGAGAAAAACGTAGATCATTTGGAGTGAGAATGAAAGGGCATCTACTTTCTAGTTCCGAAGTTGCTTCCACCAAACAATCAAAAACCGGAAAAGGTTCGATTTTGGATATTGGTTCTGTACCTGAACAAAGCAAGGATTCCCATCAGCCTGTCACTAAAGTAACGAGAAAAAAACAAAAGATTCAAGTATCTAAGGTGAGAAAGGCTTATAATTTCTCTTTCATTGTTTATAATCATTTATGAATTTGCTCGTTTGGTATGGTTGGTTTTACTCTATTATATATTTGCAGATTCAAAAATCTGAAGCTCATCCCGACATTAATCTAAGTGAATCTCCGGGGATTGAGGTATGATACTTTTGGTTCCATATTGTTGTTTTTTAGAACATTTTTGTTAACATTATGACTTTTCTTAATGAAGCTGTTGGATAATCTCTCTTTTAGACTGGTTAAAACTTTTATTTCCTTGTTGATATACTATATAAATTACAAGGTTCACTGTATAACAATGATGCTTTCCTTATAGGCTGGAGATACAGGGAAGAAGCCAATGACTAAGAATAAGAAGTCATCCCATACCAGTTCACCTAAATTGATTAAACTTTCGGAAAATTCTTCAAGTGCCGATCTGAAAAAGGAAGGGAGTGACTCAGCCCAATCAGCCGTACAGGTTCCTGTATCCAACCAGGTTAATTTACCTACTAAAGTACGAAGTAGGCGTAAGATGCACCTAAAAACCCCAGTTGCTCGAAAAGATTTGAAATTTCCCGACAAAATCTCAAACGACGAGAGCAATCTGCCTCTCGGTTCTCTCAACGACGCAGCATTGAAATTCAAGGTTTTGCCCCCCCCCCTCTCTCTCTCTCTCTCTCTCTCTCTCTCTCTCTCTCTCTCTCTTATTCATTCAAGTCAAGAAATTCGATGCTTTCAAAATTTTTACTTTGCACTGTCGTGTTATATCGTACAGGAAAAACTATCCAATTGTTTGTTGAGTCAGCGTCTAAGAAGATGGTGCATTTACGAATGGTTCTACAGTGCAATTGATTATCCATGGTTCGCCAAAAGGGAGTTTGTCGAATATCTGAATCATGTTGGATTGGGCCATGTGCCGAGATTAACTCGTGTGGAGTGGGGTGTTATTAGAAGGTAATATATATTATATATATGCCTTCATCTTTTTAATAATTCAGATTATTTACTTTTTTCTGCTACCTTAAAACAGTTCTCTTGGTAAACCACGGAGATTTTCGGAGCAGTTCTTGAAGGAAGAAAAGGAGAAGCTTAATCAGTATCGAGATTCTGTTAGAAAGCATTACACAGAGCTTCGTGAAGGTGTTAGGGAAGGACTACCAACTGACCTAGCAAGGCCTTTATCTGTGGGCCAGCGTGTAATTGCCATTCATCCAAAAACGAGAGAGATTCATGATGGAAGTGTGCTAACCGTTGATCACTCTAAGTGTCGGGTTCAATTTGACCGGCCTGAGCTAGGTGTTGAATTTGTCATGGTAATTTAAATCCTATCTTGCATTTCTTGAATTTTTCATGTGAAGGTTGATCAACTAAATAATTGGACTTTTTTCGATGTTTGATTAGCCATACGTAACTCGATTTTTTTTCGTATTTGCTGCTTTGCTTTATGCAATAATTTTATTTTTTGGGCAGGACATTGACTGCATGCCATTAAATCCGTTTGAGAATGTGCCTGCATTACTCGGGAGACGTACAGTTGGAGTTGATAAGTTTTACGAGACTTTCAACGAACTAAATATAAACGAGCAAGCAAAAGAATTCATGAAACTCTCGCCAGGTGGCAATCTTGATAGCACCGATGGTCTTTATCAGCTGTCTTCTTTAGGGGGTCCCGCCACTCTGTTGAACCAGAAAAAGGCATTACTTCTCTCCCCTACCTATTTCGTAGTAAATGATAATTTACATTATATGTTCATGGAATTTTTTTTTTACTGATCTTGGAAAGGCAATAAAAATCGGAACACACGATTTATTTTGTTATGGAACTTAATTTTAGAACGGGAGTAACGGAATACTTTCGAACAGGTTGCTTCAGCAAATGCTAATGCTCGAGCAAGGATTGGAGCGGCTGATACTGCTAATTACATGCAGGCATCGTATTCTCAGCCTAGTACACTGGCTCAGGTTCAGGCGAAGGAAGCTGATATTCAAGCTCTTGCTGAGTTGACTCGTGCTCTTGATAAAAAGGTATCCTCGTTTCCAGGGTTGGAAACATTTTCTTTTTTTTCCTTTTTTTCCCAGGGCTTTATTTGTATTTGTATATTGGAGTCTTTTTTTTATTAGTTAATATTTACAATATATGCAGGAAGCTGTTGTTCTTGAGTTGAGGCGAATGAACGATGATGTGTTGGAGAATCAAAAAGACGGTGACTGCCCTTTGAAGGAATCGGAGCCATTTAAAAAACGATACGCTGCAGTTCTCATACAATTGAATGAAGCCAACGAACAGGTACCAGTCTTCGTTCTTTTTTCTTTTCTTTTCTTTTTTTCGTTTTTGAAACGTGCATATTTTTTTGTTCGATTTTCAAATTTAGATCACAACTTCTGATTTTCTTTGGCAGGTTTCTTCAGCTCTTCATTGTTTGAGAGAACGGAACACATATCAAGGAAAATACCCACTCACATTGCATAGGCCGTTGACCAGTCTTGCTGATCCTTCCGGAACTTTGACTTCTTTCAACCGTTCTTCCGCATGTCAAAATCAACAAACGGGATCCAATTTGAACGAAATCATGGATTGCTCAAGAACAAAAGCCCAAACAATGGTGGATGCAGCTATACAGGTATTAACAAATTACACTTTTGACCTTTACTTCGATAATATCCACTTCCGCTCTATACAAATCATTATGCTAAGTTTTTTTTCATATTTGTATTAGGCGATATCATCACTCAAGAATCGGGAGGGAAATATCGAGAAAATTGAAGAAGCTATAGATTATGTAAACGACCAACTTCTTTCGGATGATTCCTCCACTCTTGTCGTAAGTTCTTCTACCTTCAACTATTTAATTAGAGCTTATGGTTCTTCATCTTATCCTGATCAATTTATTCATTTAATGTTTTTTTAAATTATTACAGACACCTAAATTATCAACTAACGCAAACGACATTGACGCACAAATTCCTTCGGAGCTGATCACAAAATGCATATCGACTTTGCTTATGATTCAGGTGAATTATAGGAAGAAATCAACTATATTCATTTTTTTTTGTATTTTCCTTACGATGACATCATCGATCTTTTCTTTTTGTGGTATGATTGCAGAAGTGTACAGAAAGGCAGTTCCCACCATCTGACGTGGCACAAATACTCGATTCTGCAGTGACGAGTTTACAGCCACGAAGTTCACAAAACATGCCGGTTTATGCGGAAATACAAAAGTGTGTGGGCATAATCAAGAACCAGATATTGGCACTGATACCTACTTAAACAAGTCTCTCTCTGTAAGGATTTCTTTTAGGTTTATATCTATATATATATTTATGTTGACTTTTCTGTGTCTGAGATGTAGATAATTAAAGTTGCTCTGTTTAGTTCAGCTCTCATATATATATATATATATATATATATATATATACATATATATATATGTATGTATTAGATTCTTTTTAACTTGAGCAGATAGTTTTTTCTTTCAACTCTGTAATATTTGTTTTAAACTGTAATTTTTATTGAATGCTTAACAGATTGTATATTGATTTGTGAGAGAGATGAAATAAGTTAATGATAAGTGCTTTTAGCAATTAGAAAGATATATGGTTTTTTTTTTAACAATTATTTAATTTATGTTATATTTTTAATTAGAAATACCCCTAGGGGTTTTTTAGCAATTAATAAAGTATATTTAATTTATAAATATTATTTATTTCTTTATTTTGGGTTTTTTTTAAATGTATAATTAATTTGATTAATAGCAACGTTTAATAATTAACACATTTGTTTTTTTATTTTATTAATGTTATGTATTTCTTTATTTTTCTATATTGGTTTTATAAATTTTTTCATTTACATTTTACAGTTTTTCTATTTTAATCTTTTTTCTAATAAAATGTAAAAAATATATATTAAATATGTATAAATTAATTAAAAAAACAAAAAAGGAAAAAAGAAGATGAATCAGACCATCTTCTTACCCAAATGCCCTACCTCCGCCGCCGCAGCCGCCGGAATTTAATCTGCTCACCCACCTTCAACGACGAGAAAAAAAGAGAGATGAGTAATTTGTGGGTAATTTTGTGTTCTCAGAGGGGTATTTATGTCTTTTCTGCAACATTTCCTTCACCAACCGCACATGCCGGGAGTGCGCAACACGAACTCGAGCTGGGGGGGGGGGGGGGAATGTCCTTAACTAAAACTATAGGGGTGTTGGAGTGATAATTTATGTCACAGGGACTCATTCTGCAGTTAGACATTTTATAGGGGTACTTTGTGCAACTAAACAGAATATTTTGTATACAGTTAAAGAAAAACGCAGTACACCATAAACACAGTAGAAAAAAACACACACTACACAGTAAACACACACTAAAAAAAATGCAATACACCGTAAACACACTCAAAATAAAAAAAACAAAAAAAAACAAACTGCACCATAAACACACACTAAAAAAAATATACTATACCAAAAACACACACTCAAAA